AACACATTCGTTTTCCTAAAAAAACCCCTCTGTATTCCTTATGTAAGTTTTGATTCAACATTTGAAGTAGTATTTTTAGTCAGTTTTCTAGTTCTTAATCCATGTTTACATCGAAACAAATATTTTTACATCATCTTTCTCGAAATGTAAATAACTTTGAATTTTTAAAGAGTAAAAAGCAATCCATTGCATCAAATCAAAAGTGAAATGAATATTTCTCGAGATCATAAGCATTACGCTCGAGACAGACGCGCTTTCAATCTAAGACGGTTCTAAAATCAAAACCAAATGCCCCTGGGTGATCGAATTCACGACCTTCAGATTTCTCCGCTGAGGATTATGAGAGACTGACGAGCTGCCTACTGCGCCACCGAGGCTCGGCGGACATATGGAATTCGCATACATGGGTGTTTTAATTGTTTGTGTAAGAATTCTAAATAGTTTTCCACAAATCCTGTTTTTGAAACCGTAACGGATATTAACAGCTTTGTGAAGTCGCTACATGCGTTATCATCCTTCTCGTGACTATTGGAAATACTTTGTGCGCGATCTGATAGTGCATAGTATAAATCTGGGATTGAATTTTTTATACCTTTCTGCCTGAAAAGAACATTAAATTTAAACGAATGAAAACAAACTATTCAACAGAAATTTTAAAATTTATTAGCCTCATTAAAAAAATTTCGTCTGCCTCAATAGGCCCTTGTTACTTTTATATAAATAGAAAATTAATGTTTTTATCTTCAAAATTTTTATTTTCTTTTAAATATTCCGTCTTTTCCAACTCTTACCAGTTCTGAATTCGAGATGTATATTGTATTAGGTTTCAATACGATCTGTTGCAAAATATAAGGTTCCACCGAGATTTGAACTCGGATCGCTGGATTCAGAGTCCAGAGTGCTAACCATTACACCATGGAACCCAAGTTTCCCATGCCGGGAATCGAACCCGGGCCGCCTGGGTGAAAGCCAGGAATCCTAACCACTAGACCACATGGGAGCTCGGCCTGGGACGAACAATTGTACGTATTAATTCCAATTTCACATTTGCACATCATTAGTTCTATTGTTTTTATACAACTGTGATTTTAATTTTTGTCGAAAGAAACATTTTTTACGTCGAATTTGAGGACACGCAAACTCGGTAGAGAAAAACAATGGTCATTTCAACCGATGTTTACTTCTTTAGCACATGAAATTCCTAAACTCTTTTGAAGTTATGATACAAAACGTATTTCAGTGCTTTCGCTGGGTACTGTGTTTCTTGGAAATAAAATTCTACATGATACAGGCTTTTGCATTAAAAGTAGTTATCACCTTATATAACCCCTTTCAGATTCCGATTTATTTTGAAGGGGATAAAACCTTAGTGAGAGGTGAAAAATCCTATGTTATTGTCATATGTAAAAGCTCCACCGCGATTTGAACTCTGATCGTTGGATTCAAAGTCCAGAGTGCTAACCATTACACCATGGAACCCACGTTTCCCATGCCGGGAATCGAACCCGGGTAGCGTAGGTGAGAGCCAGGAATCCTAACCACTAGACCACATGGGATTCCCTTGAAACACATCCCGCTTTTCCTAAAAGTACAACGTCTGTATTCCTTTATGTAAGTTTTGATTCAACATTTGAAGTATTTTTAGTCAGTTTTCTAGTTCTTAATCCATGTTTACCGAAACAAATATTTTACATCATCTTTCTCGAAATGTAAGTAACTTTGAATTTTTTAAAGAGTAAAAGCAATCCATTGCATCAAATCAAAAGTGAAATGAATATTTCGAGATCATAAGCATTTACGTTCGAGACAGACGCTTTCAATCTAAGACGGTTCCTAAAATCAAAACCAAATGCCCCGGGTGAGGATCGAACTCACGACCTTCAGATTTCTCCGAGGATTATGAGACTGACGAGCTGCCTACTGCGCTACCGAGGCTCGGCGGACATATGGAATTTTATACATGGGTACTTAATTGTTTGTGTAAGAATTCTTAAATAGTTTTCCTACAAATCCTGTTTTTGAAACCGTAACGGGATATTAAATGTTTTCAGAAGTCGCTACATGCGTTATCATCCTTCGTGACTATTGAAATACTTTGTGCGCGATTCGATAGTGCATAGTATAAATGGGGATTGAATTTTTATACCTTTTTGACATATGCCTGAAAAGAACATTAAATTTAAACGAATGAAAACAAACTATTCAACAGAAATTTTAAAATTTATTAGCCTCATATAAAAAATTTCGTCTGCCTCAAAAGGCCCTTGTTACTTTTATATAAATAGAAAATTAATGTTTTTATCTTCAAAATTTTTATTTTCTTTTAAATATTCCGTCTTTTCCAACTCTTACCAGTTCTGAATTCGAGATGTATATTGTATTAGGTTTCAATACGATCTGTTGCAAAATATAAGGTTCCACCGAGATTTGAACTCGGATCGCTGGATTCAGAGTCCAGAGTGCTAACCATTACACCATGGAACCCAAGTTTCCCATGCCGGGAATCGAACCCGGGCCGCCTGGGTGAGTAGAGCTTTTCAGAATCCTAAACCACTAGACCACATGGGATTCCCTTGAAACACATCCCGCTTTTCCTAAAAGTACAACGTCTGTATTCCTTTATGTAATTTTTAATTCAACATTTGAAGTATTTTTAGTCAGATTTCTAGTTCTTAATCCATGTTTACCGAAACAAATATTTTACATCATCTTTCTCGAAATGTAAATAACTTTGAATTTTTTAAAGAGAAAAGCAATCCATTGCATCAAATCAAAAGTGAAATGAATATTTCGAGATCATAAGCATTTACGATCGAGACAGACGCTTTCAATCTAAGACGGCTCCTAAAATCAAAACCAAATGCCCCGGGTGAGGATCGAACTAACGACCTTCAGATTTCTCCGAGGATTATGAGACTGACGAGCTGCCTACTGCGCTACCGAGGCTCGGCGGACATATGGAATTTTATACATGGGTACTTAATTGTTTGTGTAAGAATTCTTAAATAGTTTTCCTACAAATCCTGTTTTTGAAACCGTAACGGGATATTAAATGTTTTCAGAAGTCGCTACATGCGTTATCATCCTTCGTGACTATTGAAATACTTTGTGCGCGATTCGATAGTGCATAGTATAAATTGGGATTGAATTTTTATACCTTTTTTGACATATGCCTGAAAAGAACATTAAATTTAAACGAATGAAAACAAACTATTCAACAGAAATTTTAAAATTTATTAGCCTCATTAAAAAATTACCCTGCTCCCTAATAGGCCCTTGTTACTTTTATATAAATAGAAAATTAATGTTTTTATCTTCAAAATTTTTATTTTCTTTTAAATATTCCGTCTTTTCCAACTCTTACCAGTTCTGAATTCGAGATGTATATTGTATTAGGTTTCAATACGATCTGTTGCAAAATATAAGGTTCCACCGAGATTTGAACTGGATCAGCTTTATTCAGGCGGCAACCATTACACCATGGGAACCCAAGTTGCCCCATGCCGAATCGAACCCGCCGCCTGGGTGAAAGCTGTGAATCCTAACCACTAGACCACATGGGAGCCTGCCCTCGGGACGAACAATTGTAATGTATTAATTCCACTTCTCTCACATTTGCACATCATTAGTTCTATTGTTTTTATACAACTGTGATTTTAATTTTTGTCGAAAGAAACATTTTTTACGTCGAATTTGAGGACACGCAAACTCGGTAGAGAAACAATTATTCATTTTAACGATATTATTTCTTGTGAAAGCACATGAAATTCTCCTAAACTCTTTAAAGTTATGATACAAAACGTATTTCAAGGCTTTCGCTGGGTACTCGTGTTTGAAATAAAATTTACGATACAGGCTTTTTTGCATTAAAAAATTATCACTCTTATATAACCCCCTTTCAGATTCCGATTTATTTTGAAGAGGATAAAACCTTTGTGAGAGGTGACAACTCCTATATTATTGTCATATGTGCTAAATAAAAGCCTGGGTCAAGGATTTGAACTCTGATCGTTGGATTCAAAGTCCAGAGTGCTAACCATTACACCATGGAAACCCGTTTCCCATGCCGGGAATCGAACCCGGGTAGCTCTATAGGGTGGTATATGCCGCTAGTGAAATCAAACCACTTAATCGCCATGGGATTCCTCGAAACACACATCCCGCTTTTCCTAAAAGTACAACGTCTGTATTCCTTTATGTAAGTTTTGATTCAACATTTGAAGTATTTTTAGTCAGTTTTCTAGTTCTTAATCCATGTTTACCGAAACAAATATTTTACATCATCTTTCTCGAAATGTAAATAACTTTGAATTTTTTAAAGAGTAAAAGCAATCCATTGCATCAAATCAAAAGTGAAATGAATATTTCGAGATCATGCTACTTACGCTCGAGACAGACGCTTTCACCCAAGACGGCTCCTAAAATCAAAACCAATGCTCCCGGGTGAGACCTTAAACCCTCACGACCTTCAGATTCCCGAGGATTATGAGACTGTTTGAGCCGTTTACTGCGCTACCGAGGCTCGGCGGACATATGGAATTTATACATGGGTACCACTGTTTTGTGTAAGAATTCTTAAATAGTTTTCCTACAAATCCTGTTTTTGAAACCGTAACGGGATATTAAATGTTTTCAGAAGTCGCTACATGCGTTATCATCCTTCGTGACTATTGAAATACTTTGTGCGCGATTCGATAGTGCATAGTATAAATTGGGATTGAATTTTTATACCTTTTTGACATATGCCTGAAAAGAACATTAAATTCTCAAACAAATGAGTTCGAAACCGTCTGTAACAGAAATTTTAAAATTTATTAGCCTAATTAAAAAATTTAGTCTGCCTCAATAGGCCTTGTTACTTTTTATATAAATAGAAAACACAATGCTTTTTATCTTCAAAATTTATTTTCTTTTAAATATTCCGTCTTTCCAACCTACCAGTTCTGAATTCGAGCATGTATATTGTATTAGGTTTCAATACGATCTGTTGCAAAAATATAAGGTTCCACCGAGATTTGAACTCGATCGCTGGATTCCGTGAGTCCAGAAAGCAACCATTACACCATGGAACCCAAGTTTCCATGCCGAATCGAACCCCGGCTGCCTGCGTGAAAGCCAGAATCCAACCACTCAGACCACATGGGAGTCATTCGGGACGAACAATTGTACGTATTAATTCCAATTTCTCTCACATTTGCACATCATTAGTTCTATTGTTTTATACAACTATGATTTTAAATTCTTTTGTCGAAAGAAACATTTTACGTCGAATTTGAGGACACGCAAAACCCGGTAGAGTATAGAAACAATTATTCATTTCACGATATTTATTTCTTGTGAAAGCACATGAAATTTCTCCTAAACTCTTTAAAGTTATGATACAAAACGTATTTCAAGGCTTCTTCTTAGTTGGGTACTGTGTTTCTTAAAATAAAATTTACGATACAGGCTTTTTGCATTAAAAATTATCACCTTATATAACCCCTTTCAGATTCCGATTATTGGAAGAGGAAAACCTTGTGGGAGAGGTGACAACTCCTATATTATTGTCATATGTAAAGCAATAAAGTTCCACTGCGATTTGAACTCTTTATCGTTGATTCAAAGTCCAGAGTGCTAACATACACCAGGGAACCCAAATTTCCTATGCCGGGAATCGAACCTGGGCAGCCTAGGGTGAGAGCTGGTAACTTAAACACTAGACCATGGATTCCCTTTAAACACATCCCGCTTTTTCCTCCCTAAAGTACAACGTCTGTATTCCTTTATGTAAGTTTTGATTCAACATTTGAAGTATTTTTAGTCAGTTTTCTAGTTCTTAATCCATGTTTACCGAAACAAATATTTTACATCATCTTCTCGAAACAAAATAACTTTGAATTTTTTAAAGAAAAGCAATCCATTGCATCAAATCAAAAGTGAAATGAATATTTCGAGATCATAAGCATTTACGTTCGAGACAGACGCTTTCAATCTAAGACGGTTCCTAAAATCAAAACCAAATGCCCCGGGTGAGGATCGAACTCACGACCTTCAGATTTCTCCGAGGATTATGAGACTGACGAGCTGCCTACTGCGCTACCGAGGCTAGGCGGACTTATGGAATTTTATACATGGGTACTTAATTGTTTGTGTACCCAAATTGTTTTCCTACAAATACTTTTGAAAACCGTAACGGAAATTAAATGTTTTCGCAGGAAGTCGCTATACGCGTTATCATCCTTCGTGACTATTGAAATACTTTGTGCGCGATTCGATAGTGCATAGTATAAATTGGGATTGAATTTTTATACCTTTTGACATATGCCTGAAAAGAACATTAAATTTAAACGAATGAAAACAAACTATTCAACAGAAATTTTAAAATTTATTAGCCTCATTTAAAAATTTCGCCCTGCCCCAAAAGGCCCCTTCTTGTTACTTTTATATAAATAGAAAATTAATGTTTTTATCTTCAAAATTTTTATTTTCTTTTAAATATATGTCGTCCTTTCCAACTATTTCCAGTTCTGAATTCGAGATGTATATTGTATTAGGTTTCAATACGATCTGTTGCAAAATATAAGGTTCCACCGAGATTTGAACTCGGATCGCTGGATTCAGAGTCCAGAGTGCTAACCATTACACCATGGAACCCAGCGCCCCTTGCCGGGTCCCAAACCCGCCGCCTGAATGAAAGCCACAGGAATCCTAAACAACCACTAGACCACATGGGAGTCATTCGGGACGAACAATGTACGTATTAATTCCTACTTCACATTTGCACATCATTAGTTCTATTGTTTTTATACAACTGTGATTTTAATTTTTGTCGAAAGAAACATTTTTTACGTCGAATTTGAGGACACGCAAACTCGGTAGAGAAACAATTATTCATTTTCACGATATCATTTCAGAAAGCACATGAAATTCTCTCCTAAACTCTTTTTTAAAGTTATGATACAAAAACGTATTTCAAGGCTTTCGCTAAGTACTGGTGTTTTGGAAATAAAATTTACGATACAGGCTTTTTTGCATTAAAAATTATCACTCTTATATAACCCCTTTCAGATTCCGATTTATTTTGAAGGGGATAAAACCTTTGTGAGAGGTGACAACTCCTATATTATTGTCATATGTAAAAGCAATAAAAGCTCCGCCGCGATTTGAACTCTGATCGTTGGATTCAAAGTCCAGAGTGCTAACCATTACACCATGGAACCCAAGTTTCCTATGCCGGGAATCGAACCCGGGTAGCCTAGGTGAGAGCCAGGAATCCTAACCACTAGACCACATGGGATTCCCTTGAAACACATCCCGCTTTTCCTAAAAGTACAACGTCTGTATTCCTTTATGTAAGTTTTGATTCAACATTTGAAGTATTTTTAGTCAGTTTTCTAGTTCTTAATCCATGTTTACCGAAACAAATATTTTACATCATCTTTCTCGAAATGTAAATAACTTTGAATTTTTTAAAGAGTAAAAGCAATCCATTGCATCAAATCAAAAGTGAAATGAATATTTCGAGATCATAAGCATTTACGCTCGAGACAGACGCTTTCAATCTAAGACGGCTCCTAAAATCAAAACCAAATGCCCCGGGTGAGGATCGAACTCACGACCTTCAGATTTCTCCGAGGATTATGAGACTGACGAGCTGCCTACTGCGCTACCGAGGCTCGGCGGACATATGGAATTTTATACATGGGTACTTAATTGTTTGTGTAAGAATTCTTAAATAGTTTTCCTACAAATCCTGTTTTTGAAACCGTAACGGGATATTAAATGTTTTCAGAAGTCGCTACATGCGTTATCATCCTTCGTGACTATTGAAATACTTTGTGCGCGATTCGATAGTGCATAGTATAAATTGGGATTGAATTTTTATACCTTTTTGACATATGCCTGAAAAGAACATTAAATTTAAAACGAATGAAAACAAACTATTCAACAGAAATTTTAAAATTTATTAGCCTAATTAAAAAATTTAGTCTGCCTCAATAGCCCTGTTACTTTGAGTATAAATAGAAAATTAATGTTTTTATCTTCAAAAATTTTATTTTCTTTAAATATTCCGTCTTTCCAACTCTTACCAGTTCTGAATTCGAGATGTATATTGTATTAGGTTTCAATACGATCTGTTGCAAAATATAAGGTTCCACCGAGATTTGAACTCGGATCGCTGGATTCAGAGTCCAGAGTGCTAACCATTACACCATGGAACCTGTTTCCTGCCGAATCGAACCCGCCTGAATGAAAGCCAGAATCCCAACCTAATTAGACCACATGTAGTAGGCCATTCTGGGGACGAACAACAATTGTACGTGTGTATTAATTCCACTTCTCTCACATTTGCACATCATTAGTTCTATTGCTTTTATGCTAACTGTGATTTTAATTTTTGTCGAAAGAAACATTTTTAAATGAATTGGAGGACACGCAAACTCGTAGAGAAAACAATTATTCATTTTCACGATATCATTTCTTGTGAAAGCACATGAAATTCTCCTAAACTCTTTAAAGTTATGATACAAAACGTATTTCAAGGCTTTCGCTGGGTACTGTGTTTCTTGGAAATAAAATTTACGATACAGGCTTTTTTGCATTAAAAATTATCACTCTTATATAACCCCCTTTTCAGATTCCGATTTATTTTGAAGGGGAAAACCTTTTGTGAGAGGTGTGACAACTCCTATTTTATGTCATATGTAAAGCAATAAAAGCTCCACCATGATTTGAACTCTGATCATTGATTTCAAAAGTCCAGGAGTGCTAACCACACACCATGTGGAACCCAAGTTTCCTATGCCGGGAATCGAACCTGGTAGCCTAGGTGAGAGCCATAGAATCCCAACCACTAGACCACATGGGACTTTGAAACACAATCCCGCTTTTTCCTTAAAAGTACAACGTCTGTATTCCTTTTTATGTAAGTTTTGATTCAACATTTGAAGTATTTTTAGTCAGTTTTCAGTTCTTAACCATGCTTGCTACCGAAACAAATATTTTACATCATCTTTCTCGAAATGTAAATAACTTTGAATTTTTTAAAGAGTAAAAGCAATCCATTGCATCAAATCAAAAGTGAAATGAATATTTCGAGATCATAAGCATTTACGCTCGAGACAGACGCTTTCAATCTAAGACGGCTCCTAAAATCAAAACCAAATGCCCCGGGTGAGGATCGAACTCACGACCTTCAGATTTCTCCGAGGATTATGAGACTGACGAGCTGCCTACTGCGCTACCGAGGCTCGGCGGACATATGGAATTTTATACATGGGTACTTAATTGTTTGTGTAAGAATTCTTAAATAGTTTTCCTACAAATCCTGTTTTTGAAACCGTAACGGGATATTAAATGTTTTCAGAAGTCGCTACATGCGTTATCATCCTTCGTGACTATTGAAATACTTTGTGCGCGATTCGATAGTGCATAGTATAAATTGGGATTGAATTTTTATACCTTTTTGACATATGCCTGAAAAGAACATTAAATTTAAACGAATGAAAACAAACTATTCAACAGAAATTTTAAAATTTATTAGCCTCATTAAAAAAATTTCGTCTGCCTCAATAGGCCCTTGTTACTTTTATATAAATAGAAAATTAATGTTTTTATCTTCAAAATTTTTATTTTAAATATTCCCGCCCCTTTTTCCAACTCTTACCAGTTCTGAATTCGAGATGTATATTGTATTAGGTTTCAATACGATCTGTTGCAAAATATAAGGTTCCACCGAGATTTGAACTCGATCGCTGGATTCAGAGTGCTAACCATTACACCATGGAACCCAAGCGTCCCATGCCGGGAATCGAACCCGGGCCGCCTGGGTGAAAGCCAGGAATCCTAACCACTAGACCACATGGGAGTCATTCGGGACGACCAATTGTACGTACATTCCAATTCTCTCACATTTGCACATCATTAGTTCTATTGTTTTATACAACTGTGATTTTAATTTTGTCGAAAGAAACATTTTTACGTCGAATTGAGGACACGCAAACCTGGTAGAGAAAACAATTATTCATTTTTAACGATATTATTTCTCTTGTGAAAGCACATGAAATTCTCCTAAACTCTTTAAAGTTATGATACAAAACGTATTTCAAGGCTTTCGCTGGGTACTGTGTTTCTTGGAAATAAAATTTACGATACAGGCTTTTTTGCATTAAAAATTATCACTCTTATATAACCCCTTTCAGATTCCGATTTATTTTGAAGGGGATAAAACCTTTGTGAGAGGTGACAACTCCTATATTATTGTCATATGTAAAAGCAATAAAAGCTCCGCCGCGATTTGAACTCTGGATCGTTGATTCAAAGTCCAGTACAACTATTGGCACCATGGAACCCAAGTTTCCTATGCCGGGAATCGAACCCGGGTAGCCTAGGTGAGAGCCAGGAATCCTAACCACTAGATCACCAGGGATTCCCTTGAAACACATCCCATTTCCTAAAAGTACAACGTCTGTATTCCTTATGTAAGTTTTGATCTCAACATTTGAAATATTTTTTAGTCAGTTTTCCTTTAAAGTCTCCAACTGCCCTGCCCACACATCATCCTTCTCGAAATGTAAATAACTTTGAATTTTTTAAAGAGAAAAAGCAATCCACATCAAATCAAAAGTGAAATGAATATTTCATCATAAGCATTTACGATCGAGACACGCTTTCAATCTAAGACGGCTCCTAAAAATCAAAAAAAAATGCCCCCGGGTGAGGATCGAACTAACGACATTCAGATTTCTCCGAGGATTATGAGACTGACGAGCTGCCTACTGCGCTACCGAGGCTCGGCGGACATATGGAATTTCATACATGGGTACTTAATTGTTTAAAAAGTAAATCTCAAACAGTTTTCCTACAAATCCTTTTTTTGGAAGCCGTAACGGATATTAGCCAGAAGTCAAGCATGCGTTATCATCCTTCGTGACTACTGAAATACTTTGTGCGCGATTCGATAGTGCATAGTATAAATTGGGATTGAATTTTTATACTATTTTGACATATGCCTGAAAAGAACATTAAATTTAAACGAATGAAAACAAACTATTCAACAGAAGCTCAAATTTATTAGCCCTATTAAAAATTTCGTCTGCCTCAATAGGCCCTTGTTACTTTTTTATATAAAATAGAAAATTAATGTTTTTATCTTCAAAAAATTTTTATTTTTGAAATATTCCTTGCCTTTTCCAACTCTTACCAGTTCTGAAATTCGAGATGTATATTGTATTGAGGCTCTCAATACGATCTGCCAAAAATCTTGGTTCCACCGAGATTTGAACTCGATCGCTGATTCCGTGAGTCCAGAGTGCTAACCATTACACCATGGAACCCAAGTTTCCCATGCCGAGAATCGAACCCGGGCTGCCTGCGTGAAAGCCAGGAATCCTAACCGCTAGACCACATGGGAGTCATTCGGGACGAGTATACCGTATGTATTACCCTAATTCTCTCACATTTGCACATCATTCGTCTTCTATTGTTTTTATACAATTGTATTTAATTTTTGTCGAAAGAAACATTTTACGTCGAATTTGGAGGACACGCAAACCCGGTAGAGAAACAATTAATCAATATTTTCACGATATTTTATTTTCTTGTGAAAGCACATGGTGTACCCTCTCCTAAACTCTTAAAGTTAAGTGATACAAACGTATTTCGGCGCTCTTAGCTGGGTACTGTGTTTCTGGAAACAATAAAATTTCGCATGATACAGGCTTTTTGCAATAAAATTATCACCATATAACCCCTTTCAGATTCCGATTTATTTGGAAGAGGAAAACCCTTGTGAGAGGTGACAACTCCTATATTATTATCATGTATGTAAAGTAGCCGAAAAGCTCACACCAAGCAGGATTGAAACTCGATCGCTGGATTCAAAGTCCAGAGTGCTACCGCGTTACACCAGGGAACCTAAATTTCCTATGCCGGGAATCGAACCCGATCGCCTAGGAGAGCTACAGAACGTCCCCACTAGACCACATGGGATTCCCTTGAAACACATCCCGCTTTTCCTAAATGTACAACGTCTGTATTCCTTTATGTAAGTTTTGATTCAACATTTGAAGTATTTTAGTCAGTTTCTAGTTCTTAAACTATGCCACCGAAACAAATATTTTTATTACATCATCTTTCTGAAATGTAAATAACTTTGAATTTTTTAAAGAGTGTTTCAAATCCATTGCATCAAATCAAAAGTGAAATGAATATTTGAGATCATAAGCATTTACGTTCATATGCAGACGCTTTCAATCTAAGATTTGTTCCTAAAAATCAAAACCAAATGCTCTGGGTGAAGACTGAAATCACGACCTTCAGATTTCTCCGAGGATTATGAGACTGACGAGCTGCCTACTGCGCCAATTATGCCAGCGGCCATATGGAATTTTATATACATGGGTACTTAATTACTTGTGTAAGAATTTTAAATAGTTTTCCCGCCAAATAATGTTTTTGGACAGAAATACATATATCTTAAAAATTATTGAAATATTTTGTGCGCGCGATTCGATAGTGCATAGTATAAATTGGGATTGAATTTTTATACCTTTTGACATATGCCTGAAAAAAGAATATTTAACCCAAACGAATGAAACAAAACTATTGAACAGAAATTTTAAAATTTTATAGCCTCATTTGTGTACTCCGGCCCGCCTCAAAAGGCCCTTATTACTTTTTATATAAATAGAAAATTAATGTTTTTTACAACCGTGATTTTAATTTTGTCGAAAGAAACATTTTTACGTCGAATTTGAGGACACGCAAACTCGTAGAGAAACAATTATTCATTTTCACGATATCATTTTTGTGAAAGCACATGTGCCCTCCTAAACTCTTTAAAGTTATGATACAAAACGTATTTCAAGGCTTTCGCTGGGTACTGTGTTTCTTGGAATAAAATTTACGATACATAGCTTTTTGCATTAAAAATTATCACCACCTATATATAACCCCTTTCTC